CGGGCAGCTGCTGCTGCGGACTGGGCCGACTGGGCCGAGGGAAAGGGAGAGAAGGTTTTGGGCCGACTTTCGGCCCAAAGCCAAAAGAGACTTTTAAAAACCTTTTTCAATTTAAATTATTCATGAAATGCAATTCCATTTATTAAAAATACTTCCTTTACTCAAATAAATCCCAGAAAAATCTAGGAATTATAGAATTAAGCAAAGTATTTAATGAAATTTTATCTGGCCCCATTTTATATTGGAATTTATTAATTAGATCTTCTCTTTTAGGCTTTTAAGATCATTTCTAATAATTCCCTTTTAGACAACAATTTATAAATTAAGGATTTTTTTAAACAAGAAAAGCACTTAACATAATTATAATTAGATCATTAATGATTAAATAATTACTGAACTGTTCTTTGTATCATTTAGGAATTGAGCTCCGAAAAATCCGAGAAAATTTCAGAGAGTATAATTAATCATGGAGAATTTAATGAAAATTAAATCCATCCATGCTTTAAATTTAGGAAATTTTATTTCCCACATTTAACTTTACTTGTAAATTAAAGAACATTTAATATAAATTCTAATAATAATTTATTAGATAATTTATAAATCCTGAAACAAAAATCAGGATGTGACACGTCACGTCGCCTTGCGCCCTGTGCCGCCGCTGCGGCGCTGTCGCCGTTGCCATCGCGACCCGCCTCACGCCGCGCGCCACCGCTGCCGCCCTGTCACCACCCGTCCCGTCGCGCGCGCGTCCCATCGCCCGCCGCTGCGCCGCGCACCGTCGCCATCACCGTCGCCGTCGCCACGTGCCGTTGCCGTCGCCGCCTCGAGCCCTACGCCGCCGTCGCCATCGCCGTCGCGCCGCGCCGTCCCATCGCCGTCGCGCCGCGCCGTCCCATCGCCGCGCACGTCCCGTCGCCGCGCGCGTCCCATTGCCGCCTCGCGCCCCGCGCTGCCGCGCCGCCGTCGCATCACCCCCCTTCACCGCCCCCTCTCTCTTCCCTCTCTCACACCCTATAAAACCCCCAGCCCTTCTCTTCTCCCCCACACCCATTCCCCTCCATCTCCTCCCTTTTCACCGCGCCGCCGCCGTAGTGCTGCCACACCGCCGCCTTCGTGCTGCTGCGCCGCCGTTCCCGTGCCGCCGCGCCGCCGTTCCCGTGCCGCCGTGCCGCCGCTCCCGCGCCGCCGTGCGCCACCATCGCCACCTCCGTCGTCGCCGCTGCCGCCGCCGGTGAGCCGCCCTCCGTTCCCGTCGCGTCCACCGCCGCCGCCGCTCGGGTGGGAGAGAGCCGAGAGAGAGGGAGAGGAAAAGAGAGGCCGGCAGAGAGAGAGAGAAAAAGAAAGAGAGGAGAGGAAAAAGGGGGAGAGAGAGAGAGAAAAAGAAAGAGAGGAAAGGAAAAAGGGAAAAGAGAAAAGAAAAGAAAGAGGGAGAGAAAGGAAAGGAAAAATTTAAGAGAAATTTTAAAATATTTAAAAATATTAGAATTTAATCATAGGCTTAATGAACATATTGTTAGATGAATTCTTACTAATTAAATACCTAAAATACTAGCATTTAATTATAGGATTAATGAGAATATAATTAGATGAATTCCTATAGATTATAGATTATTTTTAGTAATCTCCATAAGAAATCAATTTCGCGGTACTAATTTATATGTAATTAAGAACTCAATAATTCGATGAGTCTTAGGACATGACTATAAATCACAAAATATCTTAGGAAGAAGAATAATTCCACTTCGCGAATAAAGTAGCCTATATAGAATTCACCTCCCACGCTCGTTTTTCAATTCGGTCATTATTTGGATTTTGTTTGAATTCTAATCGAATTCAAATTGTTCTTACGCACGTAACTATAGAGACCGAGGGAGCCGCGGATCCGGGTGAAGGCCAAGACCCGCAAGACCTCGAGCAAGGCAAGTCATCACTATTCCTTGAACATGTTGATCCCAATTGTGAAATTGTTTTGTTTACGAATAAAATTGCATGCAATGATGAACATCCTACTTGTGATTATGCCATGCCTTGATTATTGTTTACCCCTTATTCCTTCGTAACCATGTTTACGTATGAGTCCCTAGTCAACTATGACAATTGCTTAGAAATGCTATTCTAGAATCATGCATACTCATATTTATCAAAATGCTTTATGCTTGGGCAATTACCTTTGGGAAGGTAATTGAGATGCCGCATGTGGAGACATGAGCGCCACATTGCCATGATATTGATGACATGATTTGTGAAAAGAGAAATAAAACTAAACAACTATTTTCGACTGGGGCGGACGGAGGATTTGGGTGGTATCCGGAAAAGGCTAATGCCGTCCCTGGTCAATTAGGGACCGAGCCATGAAGTTAAGCATGAAACGACCCCCGTACAACCCCGCTTCTCGTATGGGTATAGACCTAGCGGAGTAGATGGCTGAGCGGAGGCAGTATCCATGCATAGTGGTTTCTTGATGTGTGAGGCAGGGGCTCTACGGTGGGGCAGCCATAGGTAGAACCGCGAGACGGGTGTCTATAGTGGTGTCGCCATTGGTAGGACTGCCATGTGAGAATTTAAACATAATTATAACTTAATGCATGTGAGTCTTTCCCTCCCGGGTGCGCCAGAACTCCTCTCACTGCTAGAAACCGTGTACACCTGGAGTGCATGAGGATGTAAAGTTCATGGAGCGGGTACTGCCAATACAAGGTTATCGAAAAGCTTTGCCGTGACGCGTCTCATGTGTTGGGACGAGGCTCATGTGTTGGGTAGTCGCGGAGTACGGGTAAAGTGTACATCCACTGCAGTGTGAGTAAACCAAATCTATTCGAATAGCCGTGCTCGCGGTTAATGAGCACCGGGACATGTATTACACTTGGCTAGACTCTAAATTCTTAACTTGTGTGGGATGGAATATGGCATGATGATTTTTATGCTCATGGAGCCACTCCTGAGAGGCGGGAATATGGACGTCCTCAGAAAATCATAACGACTCAATGGCGGGAAGCTATCCTTGGGATCACAATGGATGGTGGACAGAACCGTCATTGTTTAATATGAACAATGGTATTAAAACTTGATCAGTCTATGCTAGGTCTTAGGCTTGTGAAAAGAATTACAAAACTTGCTTTGCGCAAACGAACCATAGCCATCCTTTGAATTCCTCTGTCATGTGCATCATTGCTGTGGTGGCTTGCTGAGTACGGTTGGTACTCACCCTTGCAAATATAAAATTAATTAGAAGCGGGAGATGAAGCTTCGGAGGATCCCTATGCCTACTACCAGAAGGGAGATGAAGACGATGGCGCCCAGTAGGTCTTAGTACGGTCGTTGCCTGTGGCAATGGCATGCCGCTGCCTAAATTCCGCTGCCTTACCTGTTTCTGCTTTTGGATGTATTCCGGACCGCTCGGTCCGATGATTTAAGACTATGCCTGCGGGCTTATGATGTAATAATTCGTACTAGACATTCGTGTATGTGCATTTGGTATTTCAGCTATGAATTCGTGTGTACCAGACTACTTGATCCAGGGAAATGGTACTGTTTACACGATTGATTCCTGTTATAAAAACGGGGGTCCACAGTATAGAGTCCATATAGAAATACAATTAGGAAATAATATAAATTTGTAATTAAAAATAAGGAATATTAGAAGTAGAGTATAGAGTCCATATAGAAATATAATTAAGAAAAAAATAGAAATTCGGAATTAAAAAATAAGGAATATTAGAAGTAGAGTATAGAGTCGATATAGGAATTTAAAACTAACTAAAATTTGGAATAAACATAATAAAATTAAAATTAGAGTTTAGAGTCTGTATAAAAATATAATTTATAAATAACTAAAATTTGAAATTAAGAAAAACATGGGAAGAAGAGTTTAAGGTCAATATAGGAATACAAATATAGGAATACAATTTAGAAGTAACTAAAATTTGAAATTAAAAATTAAAGAATATTGAAAGATGAGTTTAGAGTCCACATAGAAATACAATTAGAAATAATAAAAATTTAGAAATAAAAATAAATAATATTGAAGGAAGAGCATAGAGTTTATATAGAAATACAATTTACAGAAAATTCAGAATTAAAAAAAAAGAAATATTAAAAGACGAGTCTAGAGTCTATATAGGAATATATATAATTTACAACTAACTAAAATTTGATATTAAAAATAATTAATAACTAACACGTATATAAAATATAATATGAATATTACACATTAGTAGTTTTGTAGTTTTGTAAAGTTATTGTAAAATTTAAAATTATGTTGTCATTTCAATATATTTGAATAATATAATGAGAAAACATATATGCTATTATATGAGAGAAAATATAATGATGCTAGCCGCGTAATCTGCGCGGACCACCATGGTAGTTTTCATTATGAGATGAGATTTTAAAGCAGCCGCGATTGCCAGATTCACTTGTATCACAGAATTTTTCACTTTCCTGAACATGTTTGCAACTTGCGAAGTAATCCCCAAGCCGGAGCTATGAGAGGGAGCATGTGTAAGAAGCATCAACACAATTGAAGGTTGGGGATGGACCATTGATGTTTCTTCAGCTTTTTATTTTGTTGTATCAGAGACTTTGTTCACATGATTATATACTTCTTAAGTGATATAAATTCAACATATAAATTCAGATCAACATATCAACATAGGCTGTGTTTAGATTCCAACTTTTTTCTTTAAAATTCCAATTTTTCCGTCACATCAAATGTTTGGACACATGTATAGAGCATCAAATGTGGACAAAAAATAAACAATTGCACAGTCCGACTGTAAATTGCAAGACGAATCTTTTGAGCCTAATTACGCCATGATTAGCCATAAGTGTTACAGTAATCCACATGTGCTAATAACGAATTAATTAGGCTCAAAAGATTCGTCTCGCAGTTTATAGTCAAAATCTGTAATTTGTTTTATTATTTGTCTACGTTTAATACTTCGATTGTGTGTAACGAAACGTCAAAAAAAAAAATTTGGACGGCAACTAAACACGGCCTATGGACAACAAGAGTACGTCTAGCTTCCTTGCACACATAATGGTTCACAAAAGTTCAGAATTACCAGGCACAAAAGTGCCATCACACTTGTTTTAGAACAGCACCAAAACAGAGATAGCTTCTTGGCACAGACCATGGTTCACAAATAGATTCAGAACTGTACTATCACAGAAGTACATATGTAGATTCACAACTGTACTATCACTGTACTAGGTAGGCTTCATTTCAGGTTCAGGGTGAGCTTCCTTGCACATGCCTTCTTGGATGCAGGTGCCGCCTGTGAGCTTGCACCTTCCGGATGGAGCTGATTCCTTTCACATGCCTTCTTGGAACAGGTTTTGGCTGTGAGCTTGTTCCTTCTCCTTGTTCCATGATTCCATCAACATAGCGAGCCACCTGGAAGAAAAAATGCATCAGTTTGTCAAAAGCAGCATACTTCAGATGCCACTTGATGTAATGTTCAGAATTGTAATCTCACAACTTACAAAGCTGAAACTACTTAAAAACAAATGATCCTGACCTACAACCGTACCCAATTTGCAGATACAAACATGCCATCATGATACATCAAACTAGCAGATCAATTCGTTGTGATCAAAAGTTAGGTTGGTCTGCGGTTACACACGGAAACAAGAACAGCCATATTGTAGCTGGCCATTGATGAATAGAACCGCACAAAACCTACCATCTCGATCAACAGATTGATGAATAGAACCGCACAAAGCCTACCATCTCAACAGCAAAGCAAAGGGGCGATATATTAAACCTTACATATCGGGATGACGCAGGGCAGGAAGCTTCCCCGTCTCTGACGTGCATCAGCTACCGCCCCGGCTCGTACTCGCACCGAGAACCTCGTCAACGCCATGCAGTTCGCCATACACCATAGCCGCTCCGCCACCGGCGCAACAGGCTAATCATCTCCTCGTCGCAATCGGAGGAGGCGGAATCGGCAGAGGCGGCGGAACCAGCGGCTGAGTCGGAGAGGGCGGTGGAGGCGGCGAGGGCGGGGGACAGGCGGTGGCGGGGGGAAGCGATTTGGGGTGGTGGCGACGAACGACACACAGAATGGCTGCTAGGTTCGGGGAGTGATAAATTACGAATACACCCTCTACAAAATCTTTTCCGTGGACAAAAATACCCCTCCACCTTTCCACTACCATTAAGAGTGGTGGTAGTAGAAACAGATCTCAGCCCTTTGATCAAATAAGATCAACGGTTTGGATTACTTTCTACTACAAGTAGAAGGCACCAGAATGAGACTCAATTTCGTATTGCCCAAAATGTCTGTCCCCACCTCGCTGACATGTAGGCCCTGTCTTCCATCTCTTTTCTCCCACGGCCGATTCTTCTCCTTCTCTTCTCGCCCGCGTCGAGCCCCGACGTCGCCGGCCAGCCATGCTACACCGTCATCCCCTCCCCGAGCTCCGACGCTACCAGAACCTGCTTGCCCAACGTCGACACGCAGGCCACTTATGGCATTACCCCCTCCTCGAGCTCCGACGCTGAAGCACCGAGCTCTCAGCCGCTTTTCTCCACCTTCCCAGCACGTTGGATCAAGCGGCACAAGTTTTGACATGTGGTTGCAAGCAGAGCTAGAATGATAAAGATAAAAAAAATAAAAAAAGATTTTGGGGGCAGTCCAGTGGTAATTTTTTTAGTGATTAATTTAGCGGCATGATAATTATGATGCCTTCTTTTACTTTCTGTTAAACCGTAAGTTACTTGGTTTATTTATTAATGCTGAATTCCTCACAACTTTAATTTATTTATCACATACGTAAGCATTTTCCCCTTATATTTCTGGGTGGAGTGGAAGCAGGGGCCACGATGACTTGTCGTTACTTCCTAATTAAGCAGGTAATGCAAGCTTTCATCGTCATCATTTTGTCAGATTCCTTATGTTCCGAACAATACTTGGCTTTAATTTTAGCAATCAAAGCATTAAACACCAATGTTGTCTTCAACTGTTTAGGAGATTTCACAACACACACTTCCATACATCTAAGTTACTAATATATGGCCACAGAATTTGTGAATTACGGGAACTTGTCAAATTTATTTAATTTTCTTATCCATCTGAGGTTAAATAGAACCAAAAAAACATGAAGTTTCTGACTGTCGATGCTAATATAGTATTTATCTACCTATTTATGTCATAGTTACGACGATGTTTACTTCTATTACTGAATAATGATTATCTTGATTGTCAACTGTGATGTTGCTGATCTTCGTTGACCGTAGGAGAAACCCAGAGTATGTTAATCAGCAATATCTAGAGTTACTATACTAATATAAGCTTATAAATTAGTATTTTAGATTGATCCAGCAAACTAGGGTGAATTGATGAATGTTGCCTCCATATAATGGAGCAACTACCATGCCGTTTATTTTACGGAACTGATTTCTAGCATGGTAATACTAATACAAGCTGTAGTTCAGTAAGCTAGGGTGAATGTTGTCTTAGGGCATTATGTTGGAGCGACATCAATGTTGTTTAGTTTACTGAACCAAGATCTAGTATTGTAATATTGTAGTACTAAAACTCACTAGGAGAACTCCTCATCTCTTCCGGTTGGTAAAGTTGTGCAACTTTTGTCCCGGTAAAGATCCCTTAGTCCCGTTGGAGTAATAAACCGGGACTAAAAAACCTCTTTAGTCCCGGTTCTTTTTGAAACCGGAACTATTGTGGAAATTGTCTCACCCAGCAAAGATCACTTCTCCAATAGTGACTTGTTTCAGTTCCAATTATTTCTAAAACTCATAGTCATTTGCTTCTAACTGCAGAGGGATGTGATAAAAAACAGTAAAATCTCAACGTTCTTTGTTTGCATCCTTACATGGCTTCCTCAGTAGTCTAGTTCAGGGCCAGGTTTTAGGCAAATAAAAAGTCGATGCAAATGCAGATCTGATCCACATAGATAATGGATATCAAAGGTGCAGTATTGCATTGTATAATATTTGTGGAGAAGTTCTTATTCATCCAACATTTTTTATTAGCTTAGTGCACTCTGGTTAAAATGTCTCCTAAAAATCTGCCTTTATATTGTTCCTCAAAGTCATTACTGCCCGGTGTTATTCCTAGAAAAATCTTGTTCTGAAAAATTTCTAAATTCTCTTTCCAGCTTTTCTCCCTTACCCCAACAATGCTGCCATATCATTTTCTAGACTGTACCTTGTTTTGGCTAGAATAAGAAATAAAATAATGGAGCCTTTTTGAGATTTTGGTTTTGAGCCAAAACAACTTCAGTATATGCCATAGTTACTTCTTTGGTTTAATTCAATCTGTAGCGAAGTACTTGTTTGATGTATACGATTCCATGTAAATTTCTATGGGCTGACATTAAGATACCTTCATGTTCATCAACTGCAGGTACTATAATTTTTTACATATTCAAGACTTGTATTGTACTGCAGTATACAATGCAAATGTACGCATATGCAAGCAGAGGAGTTTGTCTTGGAGCAAAAATGATTATTCAGTAGTTTATCTCATCAATGGATGAAGCGTGCGGCAAATAGTTTTATACACACTGTACAAATAGATACTCTCTAACCTTGTGTTTAGAAATTGTATTTGTATTAAGAATTTCAGATTGGTCCTATGGATTGATGTAAATAACATTTATTTTGTTTCATATGTGATATAGTTTGTCATGTTGATCTGTGTTATTTGAGGCACGTGCGATGCTTGTAAGAGATATTTTGAAATATTTTGGTACATTACTGGTTAAAATGGAATAATTTTGAAATCAATAGTTTTATAATTGGTAAAAAAATCATTATGTGATATTGCAGTTAAAATAACAGCTACTAGTACCTGTATTGTGCTATTTATTCGTGTTACTGGTGGCTAAGATATGTGTTACTGGCTCTATGTCAAGATGTTAAGGTTATAAAAAGGTATTACTAGCGTAGATGTGGTAACATCTAATATGTGCTACAATATAATAGCCGTCACACCTATTTTCTATATGTTGGAACACTTGTTATGTGCTACTAGTTTACTAGACCTTGAGCTAACATGGGTAGTAGGATCACTTATATTTTGTATTACTGCATAGCTTAGTAACACGTTTTTAGGCATATTATAGCATATAATGGTGTTGCTATAATCCTTCTATAACCCTAGTCGCCATCGCCCTAGCTCCCATCGGCACCCACTGGCACGCTCCCATTCTGGTACGGAGGAGAGGAGCTAGGCGGGGTAGGGAGAGGAGAGGGAAGGAGAAGACTAGAGAGAGCCGTCGCCTGTATAGAGGAGAGGAGCCAGGCGAGGCAGGGACAGGAGAGGGAAGGAGAAGACTAGGGAGAGGAGACGGGAGGATAATACTGAGATAGTGAGATGGGGAGGAGTAGGGAGGAAAAAAAACTTAAAGGATAAGACTGAGCCCGGCAGGTGTAAAAAGTCACAGGCGGGCCACTTAATTGATCCGCCTATAAAAATAGATTTTTTTTTAGGCGGGCCTCTTTAAAGATCCGCTTGCGAAAATGGATTTTCGTATGCGAGTTTATACTGGGTGGCTTTTAAATCTAGTTACATATGGGCCTCCTTTTAGGCTGTGTTATTCCCCAGATTTCCCAACTCACCTCTCTCGTTTTCCGCGTGCACGTTTTTCAAACTGTTAAACGGTGTGTTTTTTTGCAAAAAATATTCTATACGAATGTTGTTTTAAAAAATCTTATTAATCCATCTTTCAAAAAAAAAGTTAATACTTAATTGATCATGTAATAATGCGTGCTGCTGTCCAACCCCTCCTCCCGAATGCAGCCTTAGTCCGTCTACCCAAAAAAAGGTCCATTCGAAAAAATTGTTTTTTATACTGAGGACTTTTGACAAAGGTTCTCGCTTCAATAAGTTCTGTCCAATGAAGAATTGTTGAGAAACTTAAGGGCATTCTCTTGAAATAATAATTAGTAGGGACTGCTCCTTTTCAGATTTCTGTCCAATAAAGTTACATACGAGTTATGGTATTGTTACATACGACTTATGACTTATTGTGTACTTACACTCTAGTTACATACGAGTTACAGTCACTTATACTCTAGTTACATACGAGTTACACTGTAGTTATAATATACTTACATTTCAAAGTTTTATAACCAAAAATAACTTGCGATAGTTTTTTAGGTGGTGTTTGGATCCAGGTAAAATATTTTAGTCCCTATCACATCGGATGTTTGGACACTAATTAGAAGTATTAAATATAAACTAATAATAAACTAATTGCATAAATGAGAGCTAATTTGTGAGGCAAATTTTTTAAACCTAATTAATCTATAATTAGCACATGTTTACTGTAGCATCACATAGGCTAATTATGAATTAATTAGACTCAATAGATTCATCTCGCGAATTAGTCCAGGGTTATGGAATAAGTTTTATCATTAGTCTATATTTAATACTTCTAATTAGTGTCCAAACATCCGATGTGATAGGGACTAAAATTTTAGTCCTCCGATCCAAACTGGCACTAATAGTCTTCTTTTTTTTCTTTACTAGATCGAAAGGTCGATCTCGAGCATTACCTAAATCCGGCCCAGCAAACACACATCACCGCCTCGTCAACTTTTTCCTTCATTTGTTGGATCATCAAACCCGCAGACACAATGCACCATCCGGCCTTCTCGGCTTTTCTGTTTGTGCACGACCAAATGCCGGTGACAGTGCATGCGTCAGTGCGAGCCCGCTACTATCCGCCAGCCACCATATTCTGGTCTGGGAGGACTATTGGAAAAAAAAATGTGGTGCAAATCATATGTAATAAAAAATAATCTGAAAACTACCATTGGATAGATGTTGGAGATTTGTCCACGTTATCTAATCAGATTTAACTATGAGTAAAATTTTTATTGAAAATATAGGTTTTACTCTTAATGACGTCGATAAATTTTTTACGTTTATTTCTTAGTTTTAGTTTAACGCTACCTAGTTTTTCTCGACTATCCGTGCTGAGCGGCACAAGAAAACAACACTAATACATGTCTTCGTCAATTTTAAGACCTCATATAAAATTCGTGCTGAGCTTTCCAATTGGTCGGTACATATACTAGAGGGTACTATATAAGA